GAACTACGAACGGTACGATACAGTACCAAGTACAGTACATCAGAATCTGGCATTTCATTGTATGGTACGTAGGTGTCGTACGGTACAATACCGTACTATTTTGGAGTGAGAACAGATGATGATGATGATGTCTACTATTTCAAAAGAAGATTCAATCGCGTAACTTCGTTCCCACAGTAATTATTATTTTGTCGAAAAATATAGCCCCATAACGCCAATTCAACTACGGGTCGAATGGAACATTACTGGCGATTTGTCACAAGTCCAAAGAAAACCCGTATTTCTCTACGCGAGTCGCTCTTTTTAAATTCCGCAATATACTTATTTATAACTGAATAACTTATATTTACGAGCAAGGCGGAAACACATTTTTTCGATTAAGTCGAAGACGGTTTTACAGATGGTCTTCCATGCACCGACAAATCAAACTAAACGTCCAGTGAATCAATCTAAGTCTCTTATTTCTATTCGGTACGTTACGTACAGCTTTTTAATCACACGTGAAAGTCGCACATAAACAGAAACAAGTATTAGGGCTGTGAAGAAACAGAAAAGAATACAATTGGAAAATTAAGAAAAAAACACCAACAACCATGAAGCTATTRAAATTGAAGGTCCCGTCTTTTCATTCGAGAAGAGGGGAGCGAACAGTGGGGAACAAAAATAAAAAGGAATCCTCGTCACGAAATGATCGTTCGATTCCGCCCTCAGATTTGGAGAAGAAACCCTCTGACGACTCATCAGTGTTTTCCGGACTGGCAGATAATGCGAATGCTTTGAACAAAATTGAAAGTGCAAAATTGCCAATACCGCCGCCGCCCCCTCCACCGCCACCGAACCCGCCCCCACCGAAGGAAACACGACAACCAAAAGGAATTCTTCGAGCTCCTACTCGTGCCATTCAACCAACACAACTCCCTCCCTCAACTCCGTCTCAGGAAAGTGGCGATCCTTTTTTGAATACCGAATCAGATCTATCAGAAAGCCAGCTCAGCAATATGAGGGGTATGCGGCCTATGGCGGATGTAGAATCAACTCTAGGAAATAGTACGATTTCTACAGTTTCGTCATTCAGAATGAGAACAAATTCGAATAGCGTTTTATCCACTGACTCGATGGAGAGTGAATTGATGAAAACTATTCGCAACGTAGCTAGTTCATTTCCAGACGGTGAAACGCAAATGACGTGGGCGTCAGCTAATCAATTGGCAAGACCAAAAGGGGTTGTCAAGCTGTTGTCTTCGGTCACGTACCTGAAGGATGAGGCCGCTGCAGGAGAACAAAAGAAGATTGATGGCCAAGTGATTACTGAATGTGAAAGCAATGGTAGCGATTCTGGAATAGAAGCCATACTAGATAATTTCGAAAAGCAAATGGATTCGAMTATCAGAACTGACAGTCAGGTGGAGGATGAGACAGATGTCCTTGCTGATTTCAATAAGGATCTTATGCCACAAAGCCTGAAAGTGCAGTCCAAAGAGTCGGAATCAGAGTACTTTTTGACCCCACACAAAGCAAGAAAGTTGCAGGCAATCCTTCACAGGGCAAGAATCGAAGTTCAGGTCCTAAAAGACAATAACAACCAGTGCAAATCCAGTATTGAACAAATGCAAGAAGATCAAAAATTAAAATTGAAACTTGTTGAGGATAGAGCAAAACATGAGCTGAAGGAAATTCAAAATTTGTACCAAGACGAAATCAATAGTATCATGCAAGAAAAGGAAGCTGCTGAGCAAAAACACGCAGAAATAATGATAAATGAATTTGAGAAACTAAAGGAAGCAGCAGCTCTCGAGATAGGTGAAAAAATTGAGCAGGAACGACAGGCTGCAGCGATTGATAAGGAAGAGGAAATMGCTGCTCTGAAAGAATCCTACGAATATGAGTTCGAAAAACTGAGGAGGGAATTTGACGAACGACTSGACATTGAAATCGAGGAGGCCACATCTTCGGAAGCAAATCGCATCGCATCGGAACAAGATGGTTTGATCAATATCTTGACAGCTCAAATCGAAAGTCTCCAGAATGAGCGTTATTCGAGCATTGAACTAGCCAAATCAGTCAAGAAGCAGCTTGAGGAGAGCCATCCAGAAGAGATGATCCAGTTCATGGATATATCAATGGGTTGTTCTGAAGGTCTCCAGACATCGCTGGATGAAAACAGTTTGGAGTTGATAAAAGAAGCTTTCCATATGTTCACATTTGTACTACAAAACACAGAGAAAAGGGCTCAATTGTCCGCAGAAAAATTCAACGCCGAGTCCCAAAAGTGTCAGATTCGTCAACGAGCTGAAATTGAACAGCTAAAACAAGAAAGAGAAGAAAAAAATCAACAGTTTTGGGACCTAGAAGAGGAATTTAAGGCATTGAGTCGCAAAACAATTCTTTTAGAGGAAAGATATAGAACAGAGTCAGAAAGCCATGAATTGAAGTTGAAAAGACTAGATGACGAGAAAAAGACGTTCGTGAACATCGAGCGGACCCGAAAGGACCTGGAACATGCCATGGCTGTGGGGCAACGGGAATTAGCTAATCAGAAAGTGATAATGGAAAGAAGGCAGTTTTCTACAAGAGCAAAACGAGATGACGTGGAAACTACACTTGATTTTGACAKTCGATTCGCCCAATCGATTCCATCAGCGCGATTTTCTAGAAACTCTTCAGGTTTTTCGAAGACTGGTAAAAAACAGGATTCGGAAGGGCAAACTTCAAAACTCACTCCAGAAAAAACAGACAAATGCGAAGAGAGACGTGATAATCATAGCATGTCATCCCATCAATCAATCGAATCTCCGTCAGTTAGAAAATTACGATCCTTTCACATGAATCGTTCAAAATATGCATCTCGTCATTCAGTTTCCAATCATCCATCCAATAGCAACCCATCCATTAAGTCTCCGGAGAAGGCATGCCAAGTAGAGTCTGACAAAAAATTATGCGTCGTAACGAAAATCAAGGATTCTTCAGAGTTTGGAAACGAATTGGAGGAAGCAGAGGATATATTGACGAGTCCCATACACGCAATGAATCCAGAAAATCAGGGTGAAACTGCGTCGGATATTCATGTCAAGTTAGAAGAACMAAAAAAGATCGAGGATTTGGCATCAAACGAAGAGCGAAAACAAGTTGAAGAAAAGAAACAAGATGATTCCACTAATTTATCTCTGGAACAAAAGATAAAAATGTCGAGAGAAAAACCTAAGCGTAGTGCTTCCATTCCGAAGAGGAAGAAACCGGGTACTCCTCGAAGYGTTCAATCAAACAAAGAATTCAACCGCACATTCTTAACATACTCAAAAAAATCAGAAGAGAAAGAAGAGATTGAAGAAAAAAGTGAGAGTGTGGATGTCCTACGTCGGGCGCGTATGTTCAGGACATATAGAGAAGATAGCATACGTCGGTCACGACGATCAATCGATGATGAAATTTCTTGTTCGAAATRCAACGATGACAATGGTAGTGACGAATTGACTGAAGACTTAAGAAAWCATTCGAATGGAAAGCCAAACGASGAAGATAATGGACCATCCAATGCCTCCACCCAAATAAAAAAGCATGTCTCACCTGTGCAACCTGATGCTGACACAAAATGTTCGAAAGTCATAACAAATCATGAACCGTTTGCTCAGGAAAAGGTCGAAAATGTAGTCRAGAGAAACCCGGAACTTGATATTTTTGACAGAGATATTTCATCGATTGAATCCAAGGATGATTTGGAGATCCCACCCCCACCAACATGTCATAGTATAACTGATGATGGCAGAGATAAAGTTCAAGGTTTTCAAGAGGAAGAAGCCAAGCAGCCATTCAAAGAATGCTCTTCTCACTTGAACTCCAAAAGGTCACCTCCTGTCGTGGACTGCTCTATGAAATCTACAAGTCCTCGCGTGAGCACAGGCAAAAGCAATTCAAACAGCGGATCAAAAAATCGATTCTCAGCTTTGAAATCCCGCGCACGCGTGAAGGCGAAAATTTCTATGTTTGAAAAAAAGGTTGAAAACAAGGGATCGTTTTGAAATGGTAGCACATGATATTATTAAGTTCATTTTATTTTAGTTTTCAACGATTTGACTTMACTAACTAGTAAAGCTGTTTATCGGGCTCTCTAGCTGAGCTCATGCATGTCATCTTCCATTACGTGAGCATTTCGGCCACGCAACAAAGATTCAGTGAGAGAGGCCGGCAAAAGATCCTTTCTGGTGATTATGCCAACAACCTGGTTATTGTGATTTACTACGCATAAAAATCGTAGACCAAGAGTTCGGAACAGGCGGTATGTCCGTTGTATGGACGCGGTCTCGTTGATTGTATAAGGAGCTGTATTTGCATATGGCCTCAAATCCAACCAACAATTTCTGTCAGCTTCTCCTATGTCAAAATCGTCAATAGTGGGATACCGAGGATATGCACGTTCGATGGTATCCCACTGTACCAATGGGCTCAACCTTCGTGGACCCAATAGGTCACTGTTGTCGTAGTCGTCTAGGACATCTGGATTCCCGAATGCTCGACGCTGTAACAATGTACACAACATATCTCGACTCGCCGTTCCGTACAACGTACCGCCACTGGCGGTATCTACAATGGGGAAGGTTCCGTGTTGGCAACTGCGAAGCAAATCGTAAACTACACCGGCACGCTCAACGGGACGSAGACATTTCACTTCAGCAGACATTACTTGACCMGCAACAATTTCATTGCGTTCCGCAATAGGAGGCACATCAGGTTCCATGAATGGAATGTGTTTCAAATGAATGTGTATGTCGTACAGACCTTCGTTGAAAACATTTCCAGTAAACCTTGCTGACATGAGAACAATCATCAAGGGTAAGACGTATTGCATATCTCCAGTAGCCTCTAATAAAATGACAGTCAATGAGATTGTCATTCTTGCCATGCCTCCAAGTACGGCCGCTGCACCCATCAAGGAATATGTTCCAGAATCAGCAAAAGTACCACTAGTGTGATCAAGTTTGTGTAGCAAATGCCCACACAATCGTCCAAAGGCTGCTCCTGCCAAAAGGGATGGCACAAATAAACCACTTGGCACGGCAATGCCATATACCACAGTCGCCATCATGATGTATGGTACGAAGAACAAAAATAATGCCCCTGAAGAAAACGTGGAGTTATCGTCTCCTCCGGCCTCGCGGAAATGGAATAGCTGCTTGATGGCAGTGTCTGCCTCCGTAAAAATAAGACTAGCGACTTCGTTGTATTCCTTACCAGGTTCGCACTGGAAAGGCACAAGAGATTCTACCAGATTCTTCTCTTGGTTGGTCCAATCTTGCATGTCCTGGGGAAGTTCCGTGCATCTGTTCCAAATCAGAGGTAGCATAAAAGAAACCACGGAAACACCCATAGCAATGACGACGACTTCAAACAATCGTCTCGTTTTCGAAAAATTAACGCGCTTCATGCGCCAAATGGTCAAATGCTCGTTGGCCGCATTGAAAACAGCACCAATCAATCCTCCAAGACATCCTATCAAAGCAAATATTGGCAGTTCCCAAATGCTAAAATTTGAAGCTTCTCCTCTGTAGAACAAAAATTRAAGATGAGGGAAAGCGTGTCAGAAGGAAGCAAAACGTTGGCAACGGAATACATGATTGAACAAAAATAAATTTCATTATCGTTCTGGTAAGGKTCCCTAATCGAGTACAGCAGCTACCATGACAAGCCAATCTCCGATATCGTCTACGCTAAATACAACCAACAAATTAATGATCAATCCAACAACAAAACAGGCTGAACAGAGTCTGACTTACGAGAGGCTATTGAATTCTCCAAAGGAAAAAAGCTTCCCAACATCGGCTTGTCCCCACCAGGTATCGACGTTCTTGAGTGCAAATAGTGTCATCATCGTCGTCATGGCACAAAAGAACGCTCTCCAGGTGAGTTTCGTTGACCAGTAGCTAGCTCCCTCCTCCAAACTGAACAAAACACCACCAATTGGTGCACCAAAGGCAGAAGCCACTCCCGCCGCTGCACCACACGCCACAAAGTCGCGCTTTTCGCGATCGTTACGGAAGTCACTGAACTTGCTAAATGATGTGTCGACCCCCCAGAAACGAGTCTTGCCCTGGGAAATCCCCGCCGCTACCACAGAACCACTGTGAACCATCGGTCCTTCTTTTCCAACGGGTAGGCCTCCCGCGACAGAAAAAGCTACTCCGATGACCTTGCAAAACAATGTCTTTACACGCACGACACGTGGCAAGTCAATACCGTTCAGGTAACACTTGATTTCAGGAATACCAGACCCACCCGAAACAGGTTCTGAATTGAATTGGAAGCATACAAACCACGCGATTTACTTGTTAGGAAATTCKTAGACCATTTCAACGATTAATCAAGTCAAGGCCAAAGGCTCTTTCCAAATAATCATTTTACAAAACACSTMACCATTTGATCCTTTTTGGCCCTTGAAAGTACTTACCGATGTAGACAAAAATCGAAGCCGCGAAACACATTGCCGTCTGAATCAACACAAATGACCAGAAGGCCTTCCAGATATCGCCCCCCGTGCTCTCTGGCACGGYATTCGTGCTCCCATTGGACCCRGTGGCGTCGGCCGCCAGGTCGTCGTCGTTTGCCTCCATGTCTTCCTCGTATGCTTCCATGGACGGGTTGAGCAACTCGTAGACGTAATCGTATTTTTTCGTGGCCATCGATCGGGACGAAAAGTTACAGGCGGTAGCCACTAGGGCTTGGATGACACCGACCGCAAAGGTCAAGATCCATCGTTTGAGGGAGCGCTTTTTGCCAGTCGTCCACCACTGCCCACGGTTTGAAAAGTGAACCTGGGCCACATAAGCACGCCAGACTTCCGACTCGTCCGGTTCGTAGTTATGGGATTGCACCGCCATCGTAGAGGGATTTGTCACGGGGTTGTAACGAGCTTTACCTCCTCCTCCGTAACCGTCCCCCCTTAGGGATCCCGGGCGGTCCTTATAGGCATATGTCCGCTGTTGCTGGCCATAGTTGTAGTGAAAGTCGTTACCATTCGGGTTGRTGTGGTTGCCGTTTGTTCCGTTCATGTCGTCGTCGACATCATCGRCCGATTCGTTGGGATTGAACTCGACGTTCATCAACTCTGGGGGAATCCCACCCTTTTGTTTTCTCTGGCGTTGTCCCCGTTGGCTGCTCATAATTGGACCGTCGGTTATTTTCTCAGAAACTACTTTCTCTTCGTCGTTATTTGAGGGAAATAATGGCAAGATTTCCTCGTCGTCAGTGCCGCTGTCTGTGTTGGCTCCTCCCTTTCGATTCGTTTCGTTTCGAAGAGCTACGTAACCACTTTACGCGAGATGAATCGGCAATGCCGCTCTGAATGTTATTGATATTAGCGTGAGTATCCCTGTGAATCCGTTGCTAATGAGGTTAACAAAGAAGAGTAATTTTAGTTAGAATATCTTTCGAAATCTAGATTTGACTCGCAAAAGACCCTGATATAGCKAGGCGTCGCGGAAGCGCATTTAGAAACAATGTTAGCGGTGTTAATGATGTGAAGTCTGTGACATCAATGACACCGATTCCCGGAGGCTGTGTGTGGCATGCAACCCACCTTGTAACTCATAAACCAGCCAAATGTAAGCTAACTGTATTGGTTAGAGAATACGAAGTTCGAATTCGGGAAGGTAACAATCTATCAATGCCATMGGGCTGAAACACATGAGAATTTGTATCAGTAGGGGGGACCAAAAGTGCTAGAACTTGTATGAGCTTGTACGAGGAGTACGGTACGAGTGAAATTCTCCTAGCGTAGCATCGTGATATTGTAATTCTGGGGGTATTGAGATAGTTTATTTCGTTGTTCGTCCGCATCACAGCCCGAATGTGGAACGACAACGGATCAATGTCCCCTAACGCTAGTCACCGTTGGAAACAGAAACAAATCGAATTCGCGACCCGTTAAAAATAGTCAAAAATAGTCTCAACGTATGTACCGGTATGACACGTTATTATTTCATGTGGTKCTCGCTAAACACAGTTCGAATACTACCAGTCCAACAACTCTACTGCTACCAGTAGATATTTTTTTATCCTGTTACAAGTACTCCTACTACTAGTAGAGGCGTGCAACAACAAATCATCGATAATAATTTAGACGACATCAATATCATCCATCGTCATCATTTTTTGTAGCACCACCATAATACTAGTAGCACTAGGTAGTGTACTGCTACTATCTAATTGTACCAAAACTACAATAGTAATATTACTACTAGAAGTATTAATCGTAGTATTAGTTMTATGATTCACCCCCACCACCAGACAAAATAAGTTCGCACACAGATGCGGCAGTGCTGTGTGATCCGTCGCGTTCCGTAGACGAGYGCGAGGGCTCGCACATTCTACCCGTTTCGAAGATAGAATTTCACCTCGGGGAAGGAACGCAGCGATGGCCGTCTTCGTCGATCATCATGCAGCACTCCCGAGCAGTTGTCGCTGTAGAACAAAGACCGTCGAGGGGGATCACCGCCGGCTCTTTTTTCAACGACAAGTTGTTGCAATAATCCTGGATTACAGCCATGGAAGCGATCTCTTTGTTTATATCGAGACGATGTTCTTCCACCCAACCAATGGGTTCGCAGGTATGACCTGACTCGAATTTCTCTCACATTCGACGGGACACAATGTTGATTTTCATAGTTCTCGGTTGAATCGTATGCAGCACAACAGGAGTAGGGGTCCGTGACCCTTCTTCAAGAATATCCATCGGGGAGGGCTTCCCTCTCTGGACTTGTCCCGCGATAGGGGGGCAAAGGATTCCTTTTCGATGACCTTAGAAATATGTTGTCCCTCTTTGGCACCTTGTAGATATTCTGATACGATGTTTGTTGCCCTCTTGAGATTTCGGTAAGGGATGTTCCTTTTGTCGAGGGGTCGGAGAASTTGTCGATTACTCTCCGATTTTCATCTTCCGGTTTYTCGTCAATTTCGAACATAATGCTTGGAGAGGAAGGAGAGTTATCAAAAACTCGGTCTAATTCCGGTGACGAAGCTATAGGGATAYGATCCAACGGTCCCTGCCGTGAGATGTCGTCGGGTTTTAATCCAGTAGCTGACGGTGCTGGATCGGAGATGCCTTKAACTATCAGAGTWCCATCGTTCGGCAATCGGTTTATATCGGACGCAGCGTTTGAATTTGTAGCTGAATTATCAAAAATTCGATCCAACTTCGGGGACCATTCAAGAGGAACAGACCTTGTCGATCGTGCTCTATTGCCGTTGAAAAGTGCTTTTCTGGTAAGTATTGGTTCACTCTCTAGCTTTTCCGCTGATGTAGCGCCACTTTTGTATTCAACCCAATCCAAGATAAAATCGRAATTGTAGTTATCAGAAGCTAGACCATCYTCTGTTGACGACACTAAAGGAATGGATCCCCTTGATTGCTGTCTTGCATTGTTTTCTATTGTTGCGTTTGATGTAAGTGCTCGTCGTGGAGTAGGGGACCTAATTTGATTCTCACTGCCAAATTTTCCCGATGACGAGTACCCCTTTTTGGATAAATTGGTGGTTTCAGAAGAGCTTGCAGTTATCGAGTCGTCGAATCTTCCTCGAAGCGAGCCAGCTCTTACKACKCCGATYATATCATAGCCACAGAATAACAGAAATGAAAATTGCAGAAAATTGAATAGTTTATTCATTGTCGTCAATGTTTGATGCTAGACTTTAAACGGCTACATCGAATTWAGTTTATTCCGATCAGTGATTTGTTCCKTTGCGTAATGAAAGTACAAGCCGTGCTGCATCTTGGAAACGGTAYKTACTACGAGGAYGGAACGCGGTACGYACTCGTAGTTGGATTGGSTCGTTTTCGTCGACGAAATGTGACYCGGATCGTGCAGTTTCTGARATGAAATCCATAGTATCGAAGAAGATTCCAATAGTCATAAATTCTGAAAATGCGTGCAAGTTTTAGTTTCTACRTACTTGTACTGGWTATCRATGAAGTGAAGGAGAATTTAAAGCCCCTTTTGCCACCATTATTGCCTMTTTTCGATATGACCTCCATCTTAGTCCAATGAGTCAAATATTGTATTACACGTGGAACTGTATCCAACCAATAACAGTATGAGTTTTGTAGAAGGGGAGTGAATTTCGAAACACTGCTACCGGTATGTTCTTGCCAATGAGCCTATCCGAATAAAAACGGATCCCATCATTCGTCGAGGCAAACAATAGGACACTTCTGAAGAATAAGAAGTTACCRGGCAATATAGAAGCCATACACCGAAAGAAAGAATCTTACAAGCAAAGAAGAAAGCAGAAAGAAAAAATGCCGGCCARGAACGAATTTGGAAACAAAACAAAGAAAAAGAAGGGGCGGGCCCCAACTCATCAAAACAAATTCGCCTTCAAGCACAATCCGTGCAGCAAGAAAACAGAGAAAATATTGAACATGGCCAATATTCACGTCTGTCAGCGGTGTAGCGACAAGATCGAATGGCGGAAAAAGTACCGAAAATACAAACCGAGGACACAACCAGGAACGTGTAACGAATGTAGAAAACGAAATGTCAGGGCGGCATACCACACAATCTGTGAGAGGTGCACGACAGAATCAGCGAAAGCTAAAGAAATCATCAAGGAAGCGACCGGAATTGAATCGACAGAAGACGAAAATACCTTAACAACGAAAACGAAACAACAACGACAACAAAGTTGCAGAGTATGTGCTATTTGTGTGAAAGAAATGGCGCTTCCAGACCCCGAGGAGGAAGAGGACAACCGTGATTATGTCGACGCAATGAGTCGGCTAAAACTAAGAGAACGACGAGCTTTGGAACGAAAACTCGCGAAAGAAGAACAAGAGGCAGAGGATGCGAAGCGAAGGAAAGATGAAGAAAGTGCCAATGATCATGAAGATGACGACCAATCACAGGGTTCACCTTTGAGTCCTTTGGTGGAGGAAGACGCAACAGATGGCGTCGACTCAATTCCTGACTATGGCGACGACGAAGACGACCCATTCTTGCAGGCAATCGGGGGCGCTGGCAATCTTCTTACAGGGAAAGCCTATCAACAGAAAATGCTCCAGCAGCAAAAGCAATAAACTCACTAGAAAAATGTCAGCCTGSAAGAGTCGAAGTCAGGGGTGAATGCAATCCAATGTTTGCAGTGTTATCATAATTTCAGACGTCAACACTGTTAAAGGCTGGAAGTAACAATACATGTCTATTTCTCTCAATACACCGAATCATCTCTCTGGAAAAAGATAAAAAATAACCATTCCATCAACGTGTCTAGGAAATGAAGGAGTCCGTTCCTGATGCYGAGATTCAACTTTGTCGAACGCTTTGTTGGCAGAACCTGGAATTTCCTTTTCATATTTTGTCTAGGTAATGTTGTTTTAGGCCTCATCCCCTTCGCTGTTGCCGGCATTCTATTTCATCGTCATACTTCATCGTGGTGTTGTTGGTAGCAAAATTATTCCTTTTTGAAGAAAATTGAATCAACACATCCGTAAAGAAAATTGTGCATCCAACTGGAATGGCGACCGCCACTAGATTCTTTGCCATCCCTCGTGTGACAAATCCGTACCCGGTTTCGTTAACTAATCGTCGGACTGTTGCGACAAGGGACTCATTGGTCTTGAACATTTCATTCCGTATCACATCGAGTGGATTGGTGAGTGCGGCCCCTGCAACACCTGCTGTTGCACTCTTTGCAGCCGAACGGAACAGCCGGTCGCGATCATAGGTGGGCGAAGAGGGATCATCGACGCGCGGTAGCTGCTCTTCCATAACATCTTTAACTAACACCGCTGTACAATATTTCGGCACTCTGATTGTTGTARTATATTGTATCATGTTGTTGCATTCGTTCAAGGGATGACGACGAGGTATTAGTAAAAATACGTTTCACATCCGCACTTTACATGGTTGCAACATTTCCATAGGTGCAATAATACACATCATGCACATCTTTTAACCATACGGTATGCGCGCTTGTAGTTCATGGCGTACACTTACGTTTTCAAGATTCCAGCGCTCGTCCCGTGCCATAATCCACCTAAACCGTGGTTTTTGTAAATGTGTTGAATCGATGCCATTGTGTTCGGGAGTCCTGATTCTGGATTTTGCAGCGTAATGCTCGCGCGAACAATGGGTTGGTTGACGCACTGCACCATGGTGCTCACCAAGAGCGGGGGAATCACCGTCGCCCAGAAATCGGTCTTCGACAACCCGAATTGTTTCTGCATTAACTCTCGGCCGTAATCTGATCCCCAGAATATAGCAGCTCGGGCCCAAGTCATACCAGTGATAACGCCTACCATCCCCTTGTAGGGCGGTGCAAAAGCGTAGACGTAGGGTGAGATCGACGGGGGAACACGCCGCATGAGCGAATTTCCGATGAGGCTAATTGTCCCGCTCCCACCGCCAATGCTGGTAGCCCCCGTGACGGCAAACCCGCTCTGCGCCATAGCCGACGCTCTCCATARCGGATAGTTGATACTGCAAACGAATAGAGCGAAGCAAAAGAGACGGCACCGTGAGCAGCGAAGGAACTTCCGATTGATGGTTCGAAAAGATGGACGGAGGCAAAACCAAGGCAGAGAAGCAGTCAGCTGAGTTTCAAGCGCCACGTACCAYGCAGCAGCCGCAGACGCCGCAAGGTACTGCCATGGATGGTCCTTGGCAGCGGAACTCCCTCCCATTTTTTTCTTAATTACAATATATGTATTGATCAGGAGTTCGTGCGTAGTACAATAAACTGTGGAAATAGCTGGAAAAGATAGGTTGAAGTGTGAAAGGACTGCAATTAAATATTAGGAAGACCACGTGATTTACTGCTGGTTCACGCAATGCCGTTGCTTGAAAAATCGACCCATCGTTTCTCACTCGCAATGTATCGTACAAACTGTACGGCATGTACGAGATRGGAACGGAATCAGAAAAAGGTCCAGCTCGTGTTGTCATCACGATTGGGTCGCTAACGCAAATACAGTACGTCGTGCGGTAGTTACTTGTACTCACGTGCAAAAACTAATTTAGTGCCAGCAAGGTGGTTGAAAGTAATGCTCTGAAAAGAATTTAGAAGCTACTAGTAGTAGTAATCAACAATGAAGGCACTGTGACTTTTTGCTGTCTCTGATATTCACTGATTAGTTGTGTGTGTTGAGTACTATTGATGTTGGTGATATTGTCAATACAAGGACAAGAAGAGGTGATCTTACAAGAAGAAAGAACAAGAACACCAAGCAACAACAACAACAAGAAGAACCACCACCACTATCATTAGCTACTACTAGTAGTACTAGTACTACTACTAGTACTAGCAGTAGTACTAGTAGTAGTACTGCTAGAACAACAAGAACTTCTTCTTTTTGTTGTTGTTGTTGTTGTACTATCTTKGACATGCTCTTCTTCCAAGTCATGATTTTTTCTTAAACCATCAAGAATCTCCTCTCAAATTACATCATATTTTAACCTTTGTTTTCTTTTAAGTTCAAGAATTCTTTTTTTTTCTCCAAAGCTAGAAATCTTTTGTTGACAAGAGTGAGGAATCTCCTCCCACTGGTTTGAGTTGCTTGAAGTCACCTACAAAGATAATGGATGATAGTWGTAGATTGCAATAGAAATTATATGACAGTTTGTCATATAATAAGTCCAGATACTACTACTACCAGTTCAATGTATCCAACTGATTGATACTAGTAAATGATATGATGTCATCAATGAGCATGCATATCTTATTTTSCCATGCATCATCCTATGAAACATTCTTTACTAGTAGATCTGTAACAATTGAGATTGCTACTAGTAGCTTGATATGTAAGTAATGTTACTAGTAATGACATGAAGTGGACAAGCAGAGTTCTCAAGTTTGCTGTAGGTTAGAAAACTTTCAGTATTGCTATCTGCTGCCTTGATATGAATGTCCTTTGTTGACAAGATGAGTCTTCTCCCACTAGTAGTTTGAGTTGAATGAATTACTTTTGGTTTTGCAGCAGTACCCTGATAGAAACATATGAACTGTTCTTTATTGTTTACTAGTACTTGTTGCAGCTATTACCAATCTTCTCTTGGAGTCCCTCCTTTTCTTTAATCAATCAYCAGATGAWTGTACAAACTTTTAAGTGTCAAAACACAAGCATCAGCAATCTACTACAAGCTATGTATTTTCCCGTCTCTGTCATTTTGAAAATTCAATTTTGCATGGTAGTGCCTGATATTTTTCAAGATTCCAGTTTGGGATGTGAAGTTGTTGACAACTTCCACTTTATTGTTCCAGTCAGAATGACAGTATCATCCATATCTCCWTTTTTCTCAAGCCACTTGACTGTTCTGAGATTGGAATAATACTGTCTCATCTTTATGGAAGRTACTGACAAGTATTGGATTCCTAACAACTAACATCACATTCCCACTGGAACCTTGGCCAACTGTGTTGCAGAATGGTTTGGCACCTGCTGTGTTTCTCCTCCAGAACAATACTCCAAGAGTCTCCATCTGGCATAACACTACTATTGGACTAACATCAGTTGGCATCATCTTTTTATGGACCACATTTCTTCCCTGCATTGGATCTCAGAT